TTGCACCTGCAAGTTTTCTACTACAAGCCCATTTAGCTACTTGGAAAAGTCAGAAGGATGCCTTCCTCCAGATGCCCAAACTTGTCCCTTTGTGTTTGATGCACAAGAAAGCCCCAGGGCTGAGGAAGGATTCCCTCGTCCTTCACTGTTCCTCTTCGGACTGTTTCCCCTTCCCTCAGGATCTAACAGATGTGGGTCGACTACTCACTAGGGTGACCTTCGATGCACACAAATCCTCCAACTTTTGGTTGGTCACTAACTTTTGTTGATTTCCTGCCTTTTGAATCTATCCCCTCCCTTCTTTTCCTGGCTTCTGAAAGCCCTAGTTCAGAGCCTCATTATCTCTTAGCAATACTATTCCAGTGACGCCAAAGTGCTCGCCCTGCAGTCTCTGCCTTCCGTCTGTGCTCTTCCCTCTGCTGCTGCTGAGTCATGTCACTGCTCTGCTGAAAAATCTTCAATAGCTCTCATCACCTGCAGATGGAATCCAATTTTATTCAAGGCCCTTTCAACCTAACCCCACCCTGCCTTGTCTCCAGCCATTCCCTCCTGCCCTGAAGTTTCAGTCACACTGGCTAACAGCACATATTTCCCAGATCCTCTGACCTTGTTGTTTCCTCTGGCCCTCACCTTTTCCTCCTCCTTCTTCAGAGCCAGCTCTCCTGCTGCCTTTCCTGGGAAGTCTTTCTTGCTCTCTGCTGCAGCAGCAACTTGGATTCCCTTCTCCTCTGCCTATCACAGTGCTTTGGACACACCTCCAGTCTGCTGCTATAGAGTATAGAGATGAACTGTCAGGTACACAGACTGGAGCCATCTTGGCTGGGGTGGAATCTTAGCTCCGCCAATTACTAGCATTGGTACCATGGGCAGGTCCCTTCACATCTCTGTGACTTGATTTCCTCATCTGCAAAATAGTGGACGTAATAGCCCCTTCCTGAGTTGCTGGGAAGTTTAAATGAGCTCCCACATTTTAAGCCTTTGAACATGGTATGTGCGGTATGTGTTGGCTATCACTTTACTTTCCTAAGAACACATCTCTCTTCTCAAATTGACTGTGAACTCCTAGAAAGCAGGGGCTGTCTTACTCATCTCTGTGTCCCCAGTGCCTGGCACACAGCAGGCACTTGGTACATATTTGTTCAATGAATTGGCTTATTATTACTCTGCCAGTGGTTCATTTGTTCAGAGGTTAACTGGTGAGCGCAGGATTATTTTCAGTGAGCTTGTATTCCCCAGAGTGGGCCAGCAGCAGGTTCCAGCCCCGGTGTCTAGACAGGTTTATAACTTCTGTGTATCTGGGTGACTTGGCAGGAGTATTGGGTTCCTCTCAATCTGCTTTCCTTATCTCTAGGCCCTGTTTGCTGCTTCTCAGACAGCCATGAATATGGGGTGTTTCTTGTTCTACTTTACCCAAAGGAGCTTGGTAATTCAATACCCTTGTCCTTGGGTTGGAAATGTGTCCTTTTTCTATTGTGAAAGTTTGGTCTCTGTTTGATGTTCAAAAGGGGGGAAAATGCCAGGACTTTGGGATGTTGTGACAGCTGAATGGAAGAGGGAAAAAGGGGAAGCTTCAGAGACGTAAGAGGGAAGAGGGCACAACATATCAGGAAGCCTGGCACTGCTTGGGCTCACCCACTCTGCGTCCTTGTCCAGTGATTCGATTCCTGATTGTTTCTGCCAAGAAATAATGAGAGTCTTTGCCGCTCAAGACTTGCTGGAGAAATGGGTCTCATCATAAGCTCCTTAACTAAAGATGCCGATAGAGAGTCTGGAGAGTATTCAGCAGAGAGCAACGAGGACAATTCAGAAAGCAGAGGCTGGGAGGGTATGAGGGAGAATTCTAGAAGCTGGAGTGGGAGAAGAAGGTATAATTCAGTGATGGATTTCAAGAAAATGGAGGGCATTTATACAGACATCTAGAATTTTCTACAGACCTGTGCTTTGGGAGAAATTTTGAAATTTCTAGTTAGAAATTAGAAAATTAGAAAATTAGAATACGTGGCTCTTGCTGAGGATAGGAAGGAATGGCAGCTAAGACAGTTGTGTCATAGCTCCTGTTCCCTCCATCCCAAACAGTGAGACTCCTCTGTCACCAATGCTCAGGGAGGGCTTGGAGCAGACGGGGGCAATGTTGAAAGGGAACAGGGTGACCTTTCACAGCAGACCCCTATCTCTGTCGCTCTCTCATCTGCCCTCTTAGCGCTCTCAGTTCTGACACCGGGGAGGACTGCGGGCTGGGACAGAAGTGGCTGGCCTTTGATTCTTCTGTCACAAAGAGTCAGTCCTTCCTTTTTATCTTCTCCCCAAACTGTTCATAGAAACCTGTGACTATGACTTCACTTCTGACTTCTTCCTTTCCATTCTAGATTCACCTTTCCATTGATTTCTCAGTCCCTACTTGTCTTCCCATTTTCCTTCCTTCTCCTCCTTTCCTACTTTCTGGGGGCACCCCACTCTCCTCTCTCTTGCAGTTCCTTATGTGTCGGCCTAGTAGGTAGGGGCTGCAGCATAAGCCAGAGCCTGGGATCTGCTCAGTCACACCACCCACAGCCCTTAGTGATCACCAGTGTGGGGAATTTTCTGGGCTGGGATAATCCTGGGGCTCTGGCTGCTTCAGGTGGCAAACTTCTTAGAGACCCTGGCCCACCCTAGAAGCTGGGCTGGCAAGGATTTTAGTTTCTGTTTTGCTTGACTATGAGTGAGTTGCATTATTCCTCTGTTATATCCTTTCGTCGTTCATTCAACATTGACTGTGTACTTGCAACATGCCAATTACTGCTCTAGGTCCTGGGCAGGCAGAATGTAAACAAGATCTGGTTCCCAGAGAGAGCTCACAAGCTGGTGTGCAGTCTGCTGCTTTTGTAATGAACTATAATACAGTGTGATAAGTATTACACTAACAACATGAAAAAGAGTTGGATAGATGGGGGAAAAACGACTCCATGGGCCATGTTTCCTCTCTCATGCTGACTCTGTCTCAGGTGGTCACTTGGGTGGTTGCCATAATATAAATAAACATTCATGATGCCAGGTTATTTTGACTCTGTCTGAACAGCAGCCCATTTTCTTTCTCCTCAGGGCAACATAACAAAACAATGATAATCATTAGCCTCTTTCTACTGAGACACGTCTGCAGATATTTCTAACCCATGTTGGCTTTCAACAGCCACTTTTGACCACTTTTTTACTGAAAGGCAGACCTAGCTTTTCGTCTTACAAAACTCTCCCAAGAGGAGGGGGCTGCTGGAAGTAGGATGGGAGGAGACTTCTCATGAATGACGTCTTTTTAGAAGGGTGGGATGGGAGGTTGCAGGAGAGTGTAGTAAAAAAAGTAGTGGATCTGGAGTCAGAAGACTAGAGGTCCACTCCCAGCTATTCACCAGCTGACCTAATGTCCCTGGGCCTCAGTTTCTGTTTTGCAAAATGGGGATGATAACAGTATCCACCTTGTTGGTCATGGTGAGAATTTGACCAGAAAATGCATATAAAGCACATAGAAAGCAGGCACAGCTGTGGTGATAATGATGACAGTGATGGCAGAGAACAGGCTGTATGGCTTTGGGATAGTCACTTAGATACTCTGGCCTCAGTTTCCTCACCTGCAGAAGGAGCGAGTCTCACAGGATCATTTGGAATTCTGTTCAGCAACATTTCTAGAGCATCTTCCATGTTGGTGTCACACTGGGGGTTCAGAGAAGGGCAAGGCCTGGCCCTTACTCTCTGGAAGCTCACTACTGGGGAAGGACACACACACCCCACTGGGGAAGAACACACAAGCGGATGACTCTAACAGAATACAAGGTCCCAAAGAGATGCTAGGTTCACGAGGGTGAGCATTCAGGGCAGGAGGATCCTGGAGGGCTTGGTGGGGAGGCAGTGTTCGACCTGGACTGTGAAGGGTAAGGATAGAGAGGTTGTCTTCCCCTGCTGAAAAACACTTTATCCCCAGGATAAAGGCTCAACCCTTCAGCTAAGCACACCAGCTTCTTCATGATCTCCTGCTTCTCTACCATTTGCCTCTTGCACTGTGCTATTTTCAGCTCCTAAAAAATATATCACAACTTCTCTTGTCTTCCTCCCATCTTTGCACATGCCACTTCTTTTGGCCTGGAACTCCCTCCTCCCTCTGCTAGGGGGCCAGCCCTGGGGACAAGCAAGGTGTTAGCGTCAGATGGTGGGGTCCATCCCAGTTTTGCCACTTACCAGCCAGTGGGACCCCTGCTGTGTTACTCAATCTTTTGGTGAGTCAGTGTCCTCATCTGGAAAATGGGGATATGAGGTAATAGTGCCTACCTCGAAGGCTAGCTGTAAGGATTAAATGAGGTTATACGTGCAAAGTGCTCTTCAGCTCGGCCCCCAGGAATCATTGAATAAATACGAGCACTTGTGATGAACACTCTATGCCTGGCCTGCTCTTGCTTGTACTTCAGGTCTTAGCATAGTCATCACCACCTCTGGAGGCCTTTTCCTACACAAGCCAATTCCTAAGGCCGGATTGTGTGGTCCCCTAGGTATCTCCTTTTCTACCAGAGCACCGACAACTGTCATCTCTCGGTGATTCCATCAGACTCCAAACTCCATGAGGACAGGAGCCAGTCGATTGTGTTGGCTGCTGGGAGGGAGCCATGGTAAACAAATACTGAATGAATGACATGGGGTGAGGGTCGCAGGGATCCCGGGGGTGTGGCAGAGCCTCTTGGGGCAGCCGGGAGTGGAGTGGGCCGCTGAGCATCGTAAGGATGACCCGGCAGGTGGACCTTGACACCGCAGGCAGCAGAGAGAGCCAGGGCGTCCAAGGGGTCTAGGGCTCCTTCCTGCCCCAAGACCGACCCTGGGAGGGTGCTCCGCCCTGGGGAGACGACGGCGCTCAGCTTTGGCGGGATCCGCTGCTTCGGGGAGAATGCGGCCTGACGAGTCTAGCCAGAGAGCTCGCGCCCCGCCCCCGGCCCCGTCCCTCCGCGCCTCCGCCCTCACCCCTGCCCCGCCCCCTCCGCGCCCGCCGCGCCGCAGCCGGAGAAGCTACTGGGCCGCGTCGCCCCCGCGCAGGGCGGGCCTGCGCGCTTATTCCGCCCGGGAGCAGCGCAGCGCCGAGCCCGCTGCCGGCCGCCCCTGCGGGATGCTGCGCTCCACGTCCACCGTCACCCTGCTCTCGGGCGGCGGCGCCAGGGCGCCCGGGGCGCCCAGCAGGAGGGTGAGTAGCTGGGGGTGGGAGCCGCCGCCGTCCCGTTTCCCGGTCCCAGCCGCCTGGTTGTAGGGGTCTGGGGATGAGGACGCGCGGGAGCCGGTCTCTGGCTCCGACGCCCCACTCTGGACTCAACTTTCTGTTCCTGTCCCAGTTCCAGCTGTGACCCTTCTCTTTGATGCCCCAGGGGCGCCCCACCGGCTCCACGGTTTAGGGGACTTTCTGGAATTCCCAGAGATTTCCTGTCCTTCCTGCCTTCTCTGTCAAGCCAAGTTCTTTAGTGGCAACAGTTGAAAAAGCAACGGAGACATTTCTGCAGTGGCCCTACCTTGAGACTCAAAGATAATGAATGTCTTTAACATCCAAACTTTCCTTCATCCAACCATTAACAGAAAGGGTCACTTGTGGCCACCGGTGATAGAATAACACTGATTCTGGAGTGGACTTAGCCAAGAAAGGCTTCACCTTACAAACCAGAGATCAGCAGCTGGCCACCCAGGAGCTCAGTTGTGTGGGACTTGGGTTTATGCAAACCACTTTCTTCTTTCTAATTTAAATATTAGCGGGGTGAGGGGGTAGAGGGGGCAGGGATAGCTCTGGCAACCCTGGGTACCATCTCCAGGGAGGTTGCCCTTTGGAAGTGCTCTTTCTCTGCGATCTCAGTGGCATCTTTTCTCACTTCTCCAGATACTCTGTGGAAGAAATACTAGGCACATACAGGTTGCATCTTCCCCATTCCATGTCTCTTCCAAGATCATCGCCTCAGAGCACACTGCCAGGGCCTTGGTTTGTGGCTTTTTAGTTCATCCATTCATCATGATATTCAGTACTTATCATTTGGTGCCTCTTTTCTGTTGTTGAGACTTCTCTGGTCACATTTCCCCAAGGTTTAGCTAAGCCGGTGGGTAAGTCCAAGCCAAGACCCCCTCTGGTACTCCTGTTTTCTCGTCTTGTAGACATGCTTATTTGCTTTTACATACTTCAACCAAGTGACTAGCAGTCACCTTACCTGCTGTCTTTCTTTAGCTCTAGAAGAAAAGCATTGTGTTACTCTTGGGTATGGGCCAAGTGATAGGTTCTAGGGAGGCGGGTGTGCAGTTGTGTGTGTGCATATGTGTACACCAGACACTTAGGGTTGACAGAACTCTGTCCAATTATTTGCTTCATAAAGCAAGGTCCTCATTAGGTCCAAGAGGATTTCCAACCACAGTCCCAACCTTACTCCAAGATGGGTATTGGCCTTTTTTTTTCCTATGGAAATCCTTCTCAATTGGAACACAATTGCAATTGTGAAAAGCTTGCCCTGAGCCTGGATAGCCTCATGCATGGGACCAGATTGCATGAAATTCTCTAAGTCCTCCTCCCAAGGTGGGGACTGGTTGGGGCAGCTAGAGTGATATTGTGGTGGATGCAAATGTGACTAGTACACTAGATAATCTTTCTGAAGGTTTTTTCCCTCAAATGTTTACTTTCAAGTATTTCTTTAGTTATAAGTGCTTTGGTGTCTGGCACAATTGAGAAGACTTTGCCGTTTGAATAAGGCAACTGGAATACTTGGGACTGGAGGGGTCAGGGCCCTGAATCAGACCTTGTAGGGCTGTTCTGAACACATGAGGATTGTTCTAGAAAGAAGATACTTAAAAGTTCTAGGGTTCCCTTTATGATTTCCAACTCTGCTCATGATTTGCAAATGTCCCAGGTGCTGTCTGTTTGTGTATGTGTGTGGGGGGGGCATGGTGGCAAGCTGTGATCCTTTGGTTAATTGATTTATTAAACAACATTTATAGATCTTCTCTGTGATGCAAGGCTAGGCGTTGGGGCCCGCTCTACCTGTGGCGGTAGACATTGTCACAGACTACCATTATACAAAGTGATGGTTGTTAGAGTGGGGTAGAGTGTTGACAAAGTTGAGAGGAAGCTGAAAGGAAAGATTCTTCCTGAAGCATCTAAGGAAGCCCTCCCTCTGCAGGAGACATTTGAGTTTAGTCTTGCAGGATGAGTAGAAATTTGTAGGGTGACTGACATTACTGGGCTACTGAAAGGAGGAAATATCATTCATCTGAATGGCAGTCTTGGCATATACTGTATAACAATGGCACATTGGACCTGTTTTGGGCAAAATGCTTATTTTTTGGAAAAACAAGAACAGTATGTCTTGAAAATAAAATTGTAGACCAAACGAGTAATCATGAAAAGTGTTCCTGAAGTTGAGAGTTTTCCAGTAAACTCTGTGTCGTTCTTTCTTTCCTCTCTGACAGTGGACAAGTAATGGTCTTGAACAATGACACGTTAGCCATTAAAATACCATTTCTGTTTCATCCAAAAGCTTACCAAATTAGGGGCTGCAGGGAAACTAGGACCTGTTGATCCAGACATTCAAGCTGAGCAGAAATGGTGGTGACAGCTGACACTGAGCAGGGAGTTCTCTGAGTCAGCTGCCCAGCGTGGTGTGGCCAGACCAGACTGTCACCGTTTATCCTTTCTTTAATGGCTGCCACCTACAATTTGTACTTGCTTCTTATCTGAAATCATCTTTCAAGGGAAAAAAAACAATAGGTCAGAGAGTAATTTCTGTCAGCTGATAAAAGCTCTGAGAACTGTTTATGGATGTCAGCCAGCAGGGGTTGTGAAATTAAAAAAAAAATATCTTCAAACCAGTTGTGCACTAAAAATAGTTTTATCTATGGCAACAGCAGGAGGATAAATTGGCTGGAGAATAACCATAGCTGGAATGATGACCTTGGAGAATGGGGGGAAACATTTAAAAAAATATTGACATGGCTTCATGATTTTGAAAGGAATTTTATAAATGGATGAATCCCACAGAACGAGGCTTTGAAATGAAAGGTCAGTTGTGTAGCCAGGTGTGTGCTTTAGGGGGAAGGCACGTGTTGTTTTGTGCAGCTAAATATTTTTGGTTCGGCTGTTCAGCTGGGGTGCTGTGAGATGATAGACCTGTCAAGGGTTTCCTCCAGCACCACGCTCTATTGATAATAAGAGACTGTTGCCTGGTGTTGCTGGAATCATGGCTCCTCAGTGGCACATAAAAAACAAAACCCAACCCAACAAGACCACAAGGATAGGGCTATCTCCTAGCCTGCTCTTGCCAATATTTCTTTTTATTTGGCAAAGGCTTCCTCTGTTAAAAGCCTGAATGGGCCTGTCAGTCATTACTCCCTACCTAATGTACCACTCTCCCGGGTCCCATTTCAGTCTGATTGGCTCAAAATAAAGAATTCTTCTTAGCTGCCCAGTGAATGGGTCGGATAGGTGTTTACCTCGCTTCCTTTTCATTTTCACAGAAACATCTTTGTGCATAACTTCTGTATGGTCCTATGGGCTCTGAGGAAGGGACACAGGGCATTGTGGGACTTCACCCTCTGCTGGAAGGAAGCTGGCTGCAGCGTCCACCTGGGAGGGGTGGGCAGGGGGCCCACTGCACCCAGGAAACAGGTTGGCTCCTCGCCAGGGCCCTCCTGAGCCAGCTCCTGACAGGCCGGGTTGTGAGGTTTGGAACCCTGACATCCTCAGGGCTTAGCCAAAAAGCCTCTGCCACTAAAATGTGGCAGTTGTAGACTCAAAAAAGAGTCCCAACCTCTGTGCTTTGGTTCACCATCTTGCTGTGTCCGACGTGGGATGAACAGACCTGAGTCTTGGGGACTCTTAAGGAAACTTGATTTCCTCAAGATAGCAATCCCGTGGTTGTTCTTAGAGGGTGAGGAGTGGGGTTCTGGCCCATTCCTTGCCTCCAGGGCCCTGAGGAAGGGCTGCATGAGTGGGCTCTGTCACTGTTTATCTAGACCCAAACAAGAAACCCAGAGGCTGGTGTTGCCACCGAGCTTCTGGTCACTTGGGAAACCCTTTCAAGTTAGTCAGCCTCAAAAATTGTCTCATCGAGTTCAGGGAGCTGTGGACCCAGGGCTAACTAGTGACCACGTTAAAATGTTTCCATGTAAAATACTTTCAGCGATCACCTGCGTTATGGTCTCAGCGCTTCCTGCGGTGATCTCTCTCAGCCTAAAACAGTCCAGTGTTCTCCAGCATGCAGAAGACTAACACACTGGTATTTGCCTCTTTCCCTCTTTAGAGGAACGCTATTTCCTAAGTGTCAGTCACACTGCCGGCTCTTCTTTGTTCTTTAAGTGATTGTTTCTGAGTGATCTTTCTAGAATGCAAAATCCAGTCATCTGACTCTGCCTGAAGAGCCCCCGAGAACTGCCAGGAGAAAGCACCAACTCCTTAGTTTATTATCCAGGCCCTTCGGATCTGCCCTTTGCCTCCGCTGTTCCTCTCTCCACGTATTCTCTTTCCAGATAGTCCAAATTACTTGCCATTCCCCAAGCTTTCCATGCTGTTCCTCGCCTCCTTGCCTTTTTTCATACTCTCCTCTGATGAGGGGTCAGCTCCTCCAGGAAGCCTGCCCTGAACCCTCCTCTTCCATGTTTCCCTGGAGGCCTGTGCGGCCTGTCATTGCTTGCGTCACCCGTGATGAACACTTGAGGAGAGGGTTTAGGGACCCTCCCTCCCCAAGCCTGGTGTAATAGGTGCTTCAAAGGGAGTGCCACCATGGTCCTAAGGGAGCCACACTTAACATTGACTTGGCAAGTGGGAAAACAGGAAGAGACTTGGGATAAAGCCAGCGCATTCCCTCTACCCACCTGGGCAGGAAGCAGGTGACAAATGGATGGGAGTACTGGCCCACATGAGGAGTTTGACAGTTCCGGGAAGGCCTCCAAATATTCCAGTTGCCTCATCCTGTTGCACAGTTGGAGTTTCATTCCTTTGGTTAGGTCAGTGGTTCTCAACCCCGGTTACACATGGAATCACCGAGAAGCTTAAAATATTTCTGCACAGGCCCCACCCAGACCATTTGAATGAGGACCTTTGGAAGGAGAGAATAACGTCAGTATTGCTTAGGAAGCTCCCCAGGTGATGCTGATGTGCAGCCAAGGAGCAGAACGACTTTTTAAAGTGTGGCTCTCCCCTTACAGCTTTCTTGGAAATGCAGC